TTGATGCCCGAACTCACAGCATGAAGTCCTTTTGTTGGCCCATCAACCAATCATCCAGTCCGACATCTAATCTCTTGACATGTTTAACTCCAGCTCAATGTCCGATTCCTCCTACTTCAATCAATTTATCTCTCCTTGATCGAAGCTAGTATTGCGTCACTCAAAACATATATTAGATCACAAACTCATCAATTGATTTCATTATCAAAATTCAAGATTTAACACAAACTATTAGGGTAAACCAATTTTTGATAAAGGGTCATTTCTGTGAAACCCTATCATAATGAGCAATCCATTATCATCAAAATGAGTGTCCAAATTGAACGTAAGCAAGCAGTATCCCTTAACGGAGCCTTATTGGGAGAAACTATCCACTATCTAATATTTTAGCATGACATGCCTGATTGAAAAAATAAAATATATTTAATAAGATAAATATATTATTTCAACCGAATAATTATGTAAGTTTATAATTATAAAAGTTTATAAAACAGTATCAAATGGGACTAATCTAAGATCAATCACCGAGTGAACAATAGAGATACTCGGATTAAACACCCAAGGATAATAGGTTTTGATCATCGACATGGAGAGAGTTTAGAAGGATAGAGAGAGGACCATAGAGTGAGCGGATGAAGATGAGAGGTCTTCGTGTGGAACTGAGACGTCACCGCACCAAGGCTTAGAACGGAGAGGTCACTCATTGGAATTGAGAGGTCATAGGAGAAAGCACAAGAGTAGTTTGATATTTTAGGGAAACGGAAAGTGAACAGAACCTTCAACTCGTTCTACTTCTAGTTTAGATATAAAGGACCAAACCGATTGTCTAATAATGTTCTAATATTTTACAAATGAACAGGTACTCTGCACAAAAAAAAGTTAACGTGGGCTCTTTGTGGGAAAAATAAAATCAAGGGAGTTTTTTTTCTGAAAATCCACTTGATAAAATATGTATTTGTATTTATTCTAACATTTAAATGTAAGAAATTTATTTCTCCGGTATATCTCCTCTTTTGTGTGTGGTACAAATGATTATTTGTTTTGATAGGGTGAAAACGTTCTAAGTTATAGTATTGACAAAGGTAAAAATCATTAAATTATTCATGTTGTTGCAAATTGTTGCTGATCAAACTATCAACTACTTTTAAGCAAACAAAACTAGTTTATAGCAGCACGAGAACTTTATCCCAAGGAAAAACAGTGCAAGAGAAACTTGGATCACTATGTTTAAGACATATGTCATTATTTATGTGTTCGAATTATGGAAACAATCAATCTCTTTTACAAGTATGATCATGTATTTATATCGCTACAATCACAATAGTCGAGATAATCTTTAATTAAAATATGGTCAACTTATATCCTTGCAATCATGATACCGAATATACAACTTATAAGAAATAAGGAAGAAAAAAAAAAGGTAAACTTGAAAGTTAGATCAATGAATTGCCTTTTATGTATTTTATAATATATTAATATTATAAATATATTAATAAATTTTATTTTATATATATATATATATATATATATATATATATTAATGTATCTTACCATCCATGTATGTGTTCGTAGCGGATCAAATTGATTAATGGATTCATTTTCAAAATCATAATTTAGATCAAGTAAATATAAAATATATGGACAAATACATGTGCTAGACAAGAGAAAGGAGTAAGAGAGTTTGACTTTATCGTATGCACTACATCCATATGACGGTTAGATCGCACAAACCTCCATCCTAAGGGTCTAGTACTATAACAAACTCTTTGTGTATACAAATCTCGTTAGGGCTACAGTTCGCCTCTCTCTCTTTGGCTGCCACTATTTTCTCTTTGGATTTTTAAGAGCTCCTTAGGCTTCCATCAGGATGATAAACCCTCGACTATATACTTATTTCACTTATGTTGGTCATATAATTAATATGATTAATTGCGATTGAACGACTTGATGATATTTTTTTGGAATTAGAACACCTGTTTGATTTTGTTTCCTTGTATATGCATCCGAATAGTTCCTTAGCTTTTATGTCTGTGTTGATTCCCGTTCCTTGGTGCTTGTGCAAGAAAAGGTGCTTCTGAACATCCATTTGCTGAATCCGCTGGACGAGAGGAGGCACAAAGCTCCAGCGTGAATCTCCGTGGTTGTGCAACTATTGTTCGACTATTGTTCTTTCGATGGTGTTTCATGCATTTTGCTCATAGGATGTGAAGCTCCGTGGTTGCTTCAGATTATGAGACTTCATCTATCATCTAACACGAGTTAAGCATTGTCGTCTACACGAATACTAAAGTCGTAGTGACCTATGGCGGGTTTCACACGAGTCTTGAAGCTATAATTAATTATCGAGTGGGTTTCACACAACTCTCAAAGATGTAATAGCGTGGTGGTTTTGCATGAATCTTAAAGATATAATGTGACCTTGTCATCTGTCTTAAAAAAGGGCCATGATGACACCAAGCACAAATTATTTCGTCTTCTCCCCTGCTCTTTTCCCTCTTCGTCTTCATCTTCATCTTCGTCTTCCCTTGCCGGTGTCTGCAAGCCTCCTCCGACCGGGTGTTGCCTCCTCCAAATCTCTATGCGACAGCGATGGCAGGCATGTGATTTTGCATGCCCCACTTGGTGAAGTCGCCTTCTCTGCTCTGGGATGCCCCACCTTCCAGTGTTGCGCAGCCTTCTCGCCGCCATCGAAGGTGTCAAAGGCCGCCTATCTATGCCTTTTGACTAGTTGAAAAGCGTTCTTGGGGGGCGCCCATTGATTCTTCACACTTCGAACATGCTAGTTTCTAGTTGATTCGTTCATTGCTGGGTGTCGATTCTTAGGTGCTAATTTCTTGGATGCATGTTAGTCTAGATTATGATTCTTTGTATGCGGTGCATGGTCTTGGTTTTTTGGTCATGCGCTTCTCATAGATCCTACATTCTCAATTCATCTCGCGTCAATGCTGATCATGTCTTCTGTTAAAAGTTTTTTTTTGTCTTCTATTCAAGTTCTTTCTTACGCATCAGAAAATTCAAAATGAGTAGCATTTTTTTTTTGCCCAATCATTAATTAGGACCATAATAACATAACTCATACATCATTTCGTCTCTCCCTTTTTGGGCGGCATCATTTGTCAACAAACTCATTACTAGTATATCGAAGATTTCTCATATTGAAGTTTAAAGAATTGTTGCACTATTACTTGGGTACCGAGTTTATTTTTTTAATGTTGGACATACTTATATTGATGTTAGTTGAACTCTATCTGTGCATTAAATGGCATACTTTGTTTTGGGTTTGATGTTTCTTTGTCTATGCTGTAGAGTTTTTTTTTATGTGAAGGCTTGGCACGAGCTTTTTAATTTATTTTTACTACTCTTCCGTTAGCTTCCTCTTCTTCTTTTTCTTTTTTCCTCCTCTGTTCCTTCGTTGTCGTTTTCTCTTCTTCTTTTTTTTTTTCTTTCTATATAAAACATCGATATATACCTCTCTTCTTCCTTTTTTTTTTTTTTTTCTTTTCTTTCTATATAAAACATCGATATATACCAATATACTGTGTGTCGATACATCGATAAATACCAATCTGATTCGATCATCAAAATGAATCCGATACCTAGGTAATCCTTGACATGAAAAAAATAGCAAATCAAACCTTGTTAAATCATAAGATTTGATAAAAGCAAAGTTATTCAGGTTAGTGCAAATTGGTCAATTCAAGCACTGAGAAAAGAGTCACAAAGATGTAATAGCTAGCTACGAGATCCTTTCAGAATCAATCCATTTACTGTCAGCTCAAAGGCAAAGAATAACAATGTAGAAAATATGGAATATTAAATTGTGACAAGAGAAGATCGACAATAGATTGGCTGTCAAAGATAAGATACAGTGAGTATTTATCAGAAACTGAGTTTAATAAGCTAGGATAGACAAAAAGGCACGAGTAGTTGATACACCTGCAAAAACCTCAGAATATTACCTAGATCCAATCCAAATAGTAAGGCTCTCGTGACATTGCAACAAAAGGGCAGGCGCATGGTTGATACACCCATCAAATATCCCTTCTCACGTGTACCTAAGAAAATGATAGGGATCTGTACGTGTCAATAAAAAATAAGTCGATGAAGCTGCCCAACAAATAACAGTTCCGAGTTTGTTGAGTTATACCACTACCCACCGACCAAAAGACCTAATGAAGTACCTCATTTTGGAAGTGCGTAATTGCAAATCGGGACTTATTATCGAGGCGGTAGGAGTTTAACATACAACTGGAAAGGATAGGATACTGTGTAGGGATTAATTAGCTCTAGCAGAAATTTTTGTTTTTCTGTTGTAACTTCATTCTAAGCCTCCGGCACACATATTTCATCTGCAAAGATCACACATATTACTAGCAGAATAAATTTGTCTTTTTTCGTTTACTTACTTCCAACGACTCATCTATCCCATGCTTAATTCTGCTGCTGACATGACAGTTCATCTGTTTTTTTTTTGTGCCAAAATATAATGAATCAATTATTCAAATATTTGCTCTCGAGTTTAACTTCCAGATACAATAGACGTTTAGATAATTTTTGCTAAAAAAATTAATAACAATGGAAGATTAATGTGTTGATAAGAACAGTATTGTAAATACAAATGCAACAAAAGTCAGAGAAAATCAAGTACTCGGTTTGCAAAGACACACGTTTGCCCATCTACATGGAACATTGCTGCAAGCTGAAAATATAATTGATAATATCATTAAAATTGGTTCGATATCAGTTTAAAGTTGATCTGTAAAATCTTCTTTATACTATATACCCAAAAGACTCAAATGGGAACTGCCATTGAAGACTGTCAATAGTAGAAAGCAACCTAAAGACATAACAAATTGTTCTTTAGATGAGGGTTAACGCCTTCAATCATTCATGATAGACAACTAATAAATATTACCTAAATAACATCCTTGAAAAACTATTTAATAGTAAAGCATCATGATCTAATTCGTATGTAAGACACTTCCCATGGAAAAAGACCAAAGACAACAATATCAGCTAGAGACAAAAAAGCTGTGTGCACATTTGATGAATTTATATGTTACAATGTAGGATTAGCAACTCCCAATATCAGCTTCCAATAGAATTATTGAATATGTAAACATATTGTCATTTTCTTTGATATTTCAGCATTGAACACCCACAGTAACAAAAGCTAGTGTTAAAATTCATGTTCTAAACATTTATATTACATCGTATGTTTATTGGACGATGTCAATAGATTTTGGTTCAGTGCTAGTTGCACTTCATGGGTATACATACTATAAAGAAAATTACCTTGTGACCTCCAAAAGGCTTGACTATTACATCAGGTGATTCCTACAACCATTAGGAACCAAGATCATTACTTAAAATATTGTTTGAACCAATACATACCTACACAATATTTACCTCTCCATCTAAGTAACAATGATGAAGCATATAGTTTTTACTGCCGTGGATAAATCATTTTTTTCAATAACATCGGGTGGTATTGGCTGATAACAATCTGATAGATTATCAAAATTGGTATGAGAACAGCATCTAAATCCATGAAGAAGACCCACTCGATCATTGGAGAAAAAAAGTATAAGATATGAGCAGTGACTCCTAGCAAAATGAATGAAACTAACACACAGGATCTTCTAACCTATAATTGTCTTATTGTCTCTAAGCTTCAAATATGAATGCATACATAACATCTTGTCAAAGTGGTTCACATAGAATTGATTCCAAAACTTTTTGAGTCAAGGTAAAAGCTTCAAATAAACCTGTCAAGAGGGAGAAACAGAGGTTTAAAAATCACTAGCCAATGTACAGGACTGCACTAATCTGATGCTTGATTAACAGAATTGATGCAATTTCCATTCAGAATATGATGTAATTGATATGAAATATACAGACATGGAAGCATGTGCATATTTCAAACTTCTGATAGTAAATATCGTCCACGAGAACAACAGAATAAGGAAAATAAAACTGTTTCTGATTACTAACAGCAGTGGAAGAAGCATACACCATTTTTTAGACTAATCAATGCCAATATGTATGGACAAAAGCTGACGACTTAGTGGGACTTAGCAATGTCTTTGCTGAGTTGCAGAAGGAGAACCATCAATTTGTCTACATCCAAACATCCAAGCCCATCATCCAACGGGAGTTTCCCATGCAAAACTCTTCAGTTATATTGTCTAGGTGTTGCTGACAGAAAACTATACAGTTATCCTAGAAGCTTACTACTTAAAGCATCCTTGTGTTACAATATGAGCTGCACTCATTTTCGGACTTAGATTATGTTATAAAAAACTTAGAGCTAACAATAAATTTTCCTTTTATTTAACTATAACTTAAAGAAGCAATTAAACCCTTTAAAGTTCAAAAGTAGAGCAACCTTTTGGTCAGGTATATCAAGCAATTTTACTATAAGCATAGAGTTGAAAAGATTATCAATGCATGAACCATAGGTCACAAGACCCCATACCTTTACACATATATAATGTAGATATTTTCACACCTGCAATGGAATTCCTTAACACAAGCATAAAATTGGTCATAAATTTCTAGGACATTGAAATTAAACAAATGAAAATATAGTTTTTTCCATAACCAAGGAACTCTTTGTGAAAGGAATAATAAAACCTAATTAATCATCAACACTGGAACAACATAAGTAAAAGGTTATTGATCATAAATGAGTTCATTTGCAGACAAACTACCAATAGCCATCCTAGGAAGAAAAGGTGATACAAGAACTAGTAGAATAAAGAACCATATAAAATTTATACTATAACATAAAGCATGTTTATGTCATCATCTACCAATTCAAAATTATTGTGAGGTCTACTGCATTTGCATCTTTCTCATACCAACTTCTAAGTGTGCTCAAATTGATAATAACAGACGAATGCTCCACCAAGGTCATTTGGCCTCCAATTATTAGCAATTTTAATGTTACGTACTGGAAGATTTAAGAAAGTTCATAAACTGAATTTTAGTGGGAATTATCTAAAATTGTTTGAAGAATTAATAGATCAAAATAAAACAAAATTGAGATGAAAAGAACAATTGATGGCCTTTTGGTGTTTTAGTACACTTTCTCTAAGGTGATAACTGCCCCCACTCAGCATTACAAGTTTTTGAGATGGAAAGAACAAGATTGATGGGCTTATGGTGAATTGGTACACTTTCTTTAAGGTGTTAACTGCCACCAGTCAGTATTACAAGTTTTTGATATAGAACTCTTTGGTGCCATCCGCAAGTCATCGATTGAATACTTGAATCATTGTTCCCCAAGCATGTATTGTTCATCAAAAAGTCGTATTAACATTTTCTTTACCAAAGAACTCCTTAATCCATTGACAGGTTGCTAAGCCTAAAAAGATTCACAAACACTAACAATTCCCCCAAAAGCATCCAAGATAAACCCCTCACACCAGAAAGAAATCAGAGAAGAATGATCCACAAGATCCTTCAAGAATCGTTTATGTAGCATCTTACTCCTAGTTTCATTCATACCCTACATGCATGACTAAAGTAGGATATCATATTTTCAAGTTTCATTATTGATCGATAAGAGTGCAACGGAAGGCATGCAATTTTAAAATTAAAACATACTAATTTACTAATCAAAATCATAAGGCTTTTGCTTTACATAATATTTTTGACACATGTACATGATTATAACTTCTAACCAAAGAAAAACATAAATATAACATATTTAAAATTTATACACAAAATTCCCACAGGTCATCGTTTAGATCTACACTAGCATGGGCTTGCACGTGTTTACTTTCCTGCCCAATCACTTGGGTTGGGAACTAGTATCCTTATATGCAAATTAGAGTCTCCAGTAAGTAATTACTCAGTAAGTATAAGTTTTCAAAGCTTTATTCAGGTGAACATGCATCATGTTATGTATACAACATTTCAAAATCATTAGTATAAGATATTTAACGGTAAACCCCTCATCCTATGACTTATTTAGCAAGCATAACCCTATAACATAGCATATGCAAAATAAAGAGTTAAAATTCTACGTAGAAATAATTCAAAATGCTTATATGCACATGTAGTAAGCATGGTGAACTCACAAATTTCTACACCTCATATTATAACATATACGTATACTTTCACACCGTATGTCATCATAATCAGTGATTTAAAAAGCGTTAGGCGCCAAGG